CACACACACACACACACACACACACTCTTAAAATATGTACCGGTCCATACCATTTTGTTTTCCAACACTGCTTCAAATTAAAAAAACCCACGAAAGCTTATGCCCAAATAAATATCTGAGTCTTTAAGGTGCCACTGGACTCCTTCTAGTTAAGGTAGATAGACAAAAGCTCAGTTTAAGTTAAAAGCTAATTTCAAGTTATTATAACCTTTAATATTCTTAATTTAATGAAGTATACACATGCTTACAGTTTATTTCAGAGCGTGTTTTTTCTTCTCTCACATTTCTACTTGTTGAATGAATTCTATGAGGCACAAGGGGCTAGAAAAGAAAGAAAAAAAGCATTATTACCAAAAGTATATACCTTCTATTATGTGAAGATACAGTTGTCCTGTAATATGTATTTTACTCATCTCCTTAGAATATTTTAAAATGTCTGATACAAGCAAAGACTAAAAACAAACGATATAAAGAGTATGTTTTGCATTTTAAAGACACACCACTACATTAGACTGCTGTTCACGTACTAACAATATATATTTCCATTATATCTGTACAGTTTATGCCAGTCTAGCTGAGTGTGCAATGGTTTTATAGCTGTTACATACATCATTCTGAATTTAAATGGACAGTGGTAAGTCTGTATTTATCCTAATTTGTCTGTTTCCTTCTTATACTGGCTGTGCAAAGCACTCGAGATCCTAACAGTATTTAAACAAAATTACCATACCAAAGAATACCCGCTTAGTGCATTATATTGACTGCCTGACCCACACACAAAGTTACAGAGCCACACTTTGTAACATTATAAAAAAAGTCTAAAAGAATTAAGTTAGAAACTGGCAAGGGGACAAGCGTGCGATATAAAGTATAAAAAAACCTGGGTCCCTGTAAATAAAAAATGTCTATTAAAAAAGGTCTTTGTGACTATCTCTGTTTCTGTTACAAGGTCTGTGTGGCAGTTAAATAAGATGAACGTTTTGATGGGGCATCTCTGTTTTCAAGGGTTGTATGTGTTAAATAAAAATAGCTTCAAAAAACCCAGCTATTATGTCTTTATGAAAAGAAACCTATTTACAGCAAAAAGCTGAAATCCATGTTGTAGAATTCAGGGGAAATAAAACAAAAACATGTGTTTCAAATAAACCAAAAATGCTCCTATATTCTGTATAAAACATGGATATTTGAGACATGTGTACATAAGTACAACTGAGCTGACTCAACACCACTGAATTACATTGGTTTAACCATAACCTACTGAAAAAAAAGAGGTTGTGTGGAACCATTGCCTTCAGATGTAATCACTAAGGTTAAGATTCTGTCACGGGTATTTTTAGTAGAAGTCAGGGACAGGTCACACAGGCAAAGAAAAATTCACAGAAGCCCAGCTGTTTCAGCAGCCCAGGGGCCGCTGCTCCATCAGCCCTGAGACTGACCGCCAGTCAGCTGTTCTGGCAGCCCTGGGGCTGACTGGGGGCTCCAGCCGTGCCCCAGAAGTAGTCCCGGAGATGCTGGAAAGTCATGGAATCTGCGACCTTCATGACAGAATCATATCCTTAGTAATCACACATCCATGTTTCCTTAATGCTCCATCAGGGTTAAGGATACTAGGTCCTGTTGGGGCTGGAAAAATAATCAGTAATTCACCCACGGAAAGGGTGGTGGGTGAGCTCTGATTAATATTAAATTAAACAAAAGGAAGTATTTTAGGAGGGGTACATAATACATACATACATAGGGAATTTCAGAGCTGTAGTGATCAAATCAATCTGCTAACTACAGACATTGAACTTTGTTTCAAACAGTTAGGCTGGCATAAACAAGCTTTTTTGGAGACTGTCTTCTTATAACAGCAACCATCTTTCAAAAATTATTACTGCTGGGCTGCAGGACAAGGGGTTTCGCTTGCTTTATAAATCTGAAAATATATAATATACAATCTTATTCTTTGTACATGCTGTCTTTACTAATAATGATACACGTCTTTATTTCAGTGTGATTTGTTTAGAATGGAAACAGCAACTTCAAGCTGCATTACAGAGGTGATGGAGTTTGAAGGTTACAAAGAGTATTTCCCACTTTTGTTATTTAAAAAACAAAACAAAATTATGTGGGACCTATGCCAGGGGAGAGCACTACGACACTGACAGCATGATGCCTGGGGAGAAAGACTGGTATCAGGACTGGTATCAGGACAACCGATAAGACATTTGACTTGCAGCAGGTGCTTGCGTATTATTGTCAGCAGGATGTCAACATTGAAATGGGCCTGTATCCTGTACAGAGAAAAGATCATGAAAATGAGATCGCTGTTGCAGTGAAGGGTCCTGATAGAGATAAACTTGTATATAGATCCTTTCCAGTGCAGAATGTTGGCCTCTGACTGCCTGGCTATATACAGATTTATATGTTTACAGCCCAACACCACAGCACTTCGCCCTCCCGACAACTATCACAGACAGAAGAAGCTATTCGACTCCAGCTATCCAGTGGCTGTTGTATATCGCTCACAAAGAAAATATACAGATACAATATGCTTTACAGGTAGGATCCTACTTTCTAGACAGTTATGCCGTCACTAACAGGAAATGCACAGCCTTTCAATGGGGTTTTTAATGGTTTTTTCCATGGCTGTGTCACCTATTATGATGAAAAAGCTCACAACCTAATGATAGGGACGACTTTTGGATTTCTTTATTACAAGACAGCTCAAGACTGATTTTCTGAAAAGATGAGGATATGAAGTCAGGACCCTCTGGGAACACAAGTGGGAGGTGATGATAGAAATAGACAGGAGGGAGCTTGCAGATTTCTTCAACAAAGCCCAATTGCTTCAACTCTGGTGCTCAGGGATGCTCTTTTTGGAGGGAGGTCTAACACTATTTTCTTGTATTACAAACCTAACCCCAATGAAGAAATCCACTATTACAATTTTACCAGCCTGTACCCTTTCATAAACAAAACTAAAGAGTACCCCATCGAACAAGCCGATATCGTTCATGACAAATTTGGATCCCTCACAAATTATTTTGGAATTCCAAAATTAAACAACACTGCCCACAATGCCTCTCCCCCCCCCCTCGCCCAATGTTATCTGTCAGAGTAGGTGGCAAACTTATGTTCCCACTATGCCAAATCTGTGTGGAAACTGAGTAGCAGAAGACATGCACCCATACTGATGAGGAGAGCGCCATCCTGGGGAGTTGGTGCACAGTGGAATTGAATGCAGCCATAGCAAAAGGGTGTATGGTGGCGCAAAAAAAACAAAAACAAAAAAACCCACCACCTATGAAATCTGGCATTTTGAAGAAAAATCTGACAAACTCTTTTCTAAATACAGAAACAAGAGACTTCAGGGTATCCAAGCTGGTGCTTAAAGAAAAACAACCTAAATAAGTTAATGATTTCTAAAAAGAAGGAAGATGTGCATTTATGCCAACATAAGATTATGCTGAACACCACAAAGCATCAAATTGCTAAACTGTTTTTAATTTCTCTGGGGGGTAAATTAGGCAAAAGAACAAACCTACCCAATACCAGCATCATGAGACTCTTGACGAACTCTTTCAGCACCTATTTTCTCCCAATTATGAGGTTTCATCCTCCAAGTTTATCAATGATGAAACAGCTTGCATGTCTTGGAAGCATACAAAAGAATGCTACATGGTCTCTGGCAATACCAACGTCTTCAGGGCTTATTTCACCACCTCTTATGGCCATATTAGAACTATATAACCTGCTAGACAGGTTGCAAAGAGGTGCCTGTACCATGACACAGAGTAGGTGATATTCATGAAAAGGGAGGGAGACTGGAAACTCCCTCCAGCGGATTATTTAAGGGACCTCACAAGCGAGATCCTGCCAGATCAACACATCACAGAGTTTGTGTCAGTAAGTCCAAAGTCGTATGGGTACAAGGTGTCAGAAGGGAAGGCCTACATGAAAGTCAAAGAGATTACCCTCAACATAGCAAACTGTGACAAGATCTACTTTGACAATCTGACAGATCTAATCTAGATTATAGCATAGACCTAGGGAAGTATAACCCAAAGAAGAGAGAAGTGCAGCAGTCCTCTATTGTAAGGAACAAAAATCAGTAGCAAATAGAGACAAAGACCCTTAAGAAAATGCAGACAGTCACAACATGAGGGTCATCAGAGAAAGGTTTAAAACCTGCACTACAGCTTTGGAAAATAGATACATGATGGAAACTTTTTTTTTTTATAATTCTCACAGGGCCTAGCAACTATTAGAAAAGTCACTTTATAAAAAATGTGTTGGATAACACTGAGCAAATATCTGTTATGTCTGAGACTACTGTGTGGTGTTACAGTTGCAGGCAATCTCAGTATAAAGAACTGCTTTGTAAATAACCTTTTATCAATTTTGTGGAGGGGTCACCTTATGCTTTTAATGATGACCAGTTGTTTCCTACCAATAAAGTAAATAAGATTATTGTAGACTATTTGATTAACTCTGCTTGTGAAAGTGATGAAGATGAGAAAGCCTTTACCAAGTACATGCATTACAGGAATGTGTGCATTATGTATATAGTTCAAAACATATTTTGTCGGGGGGTGTTTGTGGAGGGGGGAGAGGGGGGAAAGAGTTGCACAATTAACCAAAACACAAAGTACATGATTCTGTTAAAAAACCCAGGGATAAATTACAAATTATTATGCTTGCTCTGCAAATGTACACTAGCAAGGCAGAATTCTTTCTAGAAACTATTGAAGCTACCGGAAGAACTTATAGCTATCTGGTGGTGGATTTAAATACTTCTACACCAGAGGTTTATAGATTAAGAACTAGGATTTTCCATCCAGACTGGCCCACAGTTTATACTTTGAAAAAAACAGCTGGGTACAAAAAGAAATGAATTTTTGGTAAGTCCTTTTTAACAGCCGAGGCTGCCAACTGCAAGCACATCTGGCTATATGAAGAGAAACCTGGTCCTTTTAAAATTACTTAGCCAATCACCCCTGCAGAAAAGGAAGGGCATATTGTGTTCAGCCTCTGATAATTTAGTAGTGCCCATCTCAGAAATAGAACTCAATACCTTAACAGAAAAAGTACCTTTGACACACAATTAAGTACATGTGCTGAAAAAGTAATGTTTAAAACTGTGTAATAAAAGTATCTCACTGGAAAAAAAAAGCATCTGGTGAAGCAGTCTGGGGTGGGAGTTTATCGACCTCTTAAGTTTTGCTATCCCTCTGATAATGGGACTTTTGACTAATCAATAACAGAGTATGCAGGAAAAAAAAATGTACTTGGTGCCTTCCCACTCATTGGAGCAATTAAGGGTTTTCCCTCCAGCG